ATGAAATTTATAGAAAAGTCCTACTGCATCAAGTGGGAACAATATCTAGTCTAAAATTTCAGACATATGAATATTGTAAAATGAGTTCTGATATCTTCTTGCAGATTACTGAGAAATGTTTCATCAGAGCTCTTTTGTGCTCCCCTCTGGTGGTTAGTGACTGAATTTAAATTTCTTTTTATCCTGACCACCTGAAAGGTTTCAAGATTGCACAGCCAGTCAAGTGAAAAATGCTTTTAGAATCCTCATTTCACTTTATGTTTTGAATAACAATGTTTGCAAGTCTTTGGGATTACCATATATGTGAAAGATTTGTTAGTAGATTTCTCAACTTGTCTTGCTACATAAAAATCAAATGGTTTGTAAAAGCCAAAATTAGCCAACTGCCTTAGCATAAAGGATGGATTGGAAATCTGCTGATTAAAGATATTCTGTAAATGGGAGAAGTGTTAGAGCAGAGATGGAGCTTTTACAGCATTGAAGATACAATAGAGGCATTTAAGTTCTATTCCTTAAATGTGCCTGATACCACTCTAAGAGAAAAGGAAAAATTCTTTTTAGGAGCCAAAACATGCTGTTGAAACTGATGATATGATTAACTTCTTACTGATGCTTAATGAATCTAGATGTTTGCAAGATTAAAACAAATTCACTCTTATTAGATTGTTTTATTATTTCTGCTTGATATAGGAGTCTTGACCAGTTACCTTGAGAACCACTGGAACTAGAAAACAGTGAATTTATAAACTCCACTAACTAAATTCCATAAATTAATGTACTGAGTGATGGCTTTCAGGCAGCACACAGTCTTATGCTGCCATAATATGTAAAATAGGCTACTGTAGTCAACGTTTGCAAAAGCAGAAAACTGAGACAAGGACCAATGGTACTTTAAGGAGTGGTTCTATACCTGTGATTTGGTAGGAGAATGAATGTTATAATTGCTAAAAGTAATCAGTAAAATTTTTCGAGCTTGTGTTCCTTAGAAGGTGTAGTAGGCTTCTGAAGTTTTCATGCAATTTTATTCATTATTGTTCAATAGAAATTAAAAATGAAGCTGGAAATATTCTCATAGGCAAAATCAGGAAAGATTTAGTGTTAAACTTTCAGAAGCAGGAACAATTTCAACTGAAGTAATGACAATAGGATGGTGTTTTGTAATTACTGATGTAAGATCAGATTGTAGAGGGGGTGGAGAAAAAATTGAAGTACTTCATATAATTATGTGTGTTCAGTTTTGATTGTACTTCGTGACATAAAAGCTGATGTAGAACCAGAAGAAATTAAAGTTTTAATTGTCTGAGCCTGCCCCTACCCCTAGATGTGTGCTGGATTAGTATATTTGTTCCATTTTATTGCTGGTTTCAAACATCAGAAAGAAAGCTGAGTCATGTTAATACACCAGTCATCCCTTTCTTGCTATTGCCTGTGGCTTGGAGCAATGAGCAGAGCTAGGTGTGGTGGCCTCTCCTCCATAGCTCTCTATGTGAAGGCTGAAGGGAAATTTTTGTTCCATATCTTTCTGTTCCCTTTTTCATAGCTTTTGTGATGGAGGAATGTTATTTTGAGTCTTCATTTTTGATATTGTCAAAATAATCCACTTACCTGCCATGCCTGTCTCTAGTAATCATGGAATTGTAGACTAGTTTGAGCTGGAAAGAACCTTTAAGTTCATCTAGCTCCAACTCTGTGCTCATGGCCAGAGACACCTTTCGCTAGACCAGGTTGTTTAAGGCTCATCCATGTTGGCATTGAACACTTCCAGGGGTAGATCATCCACAAATACAAGTTTCCCAACTTTCATATTCATACCTGTCTATTGCATCTATTTTGAACTGTGTCCTTTGTACCTTTAAAAAAAAAAATCCATTCAGAAGTTAACCTGTTGATTAGTGTTAAACAGTCAGGTAGATGGTTTTGCATAGGTGACTGACCATAAAATTGTTTTCCTGGATGCTTTCTATTTCACATTGGAATTATAAAGGCCACGTAAAGAAAAAATGTTCATCCTCAAATTCAGGATCAGCTGAGTGAAAACATGAGAAAAATGAAAAACCAATGAAATTCCCTGTTACTTTGACTAATGCATGCTTAGAGTGAGAGTGCCTCTGTAGGAAATTGGGACATTCTGAAAGCCAGAGCTATCCTATTGGGGAACCTGTGTTACATGATGCATCCAGTGGTCAGATCATCAGATTCTAAGCCTTTTGTTGAACACTCTGAAAAGTCTGTATAAAATATACAGAAGTAACATTATATATGCAGATCTAATTTGAAATTAAAAATTAACCACAAGACAAAGTTGCCCATGTGCACTGTATCATAGTGCAAGTTTTTCCACATACTTATTTTTGAGATACGTTTTTTTGGGGGGATGGTACTTTTTTTTCCCCTCTTCATCTTGTGTGATGGATGTGACTTAAGGGAATGGACATTTGAGAACTAATACACTACAAAAGCAAAATAGGTTCAGTCCTCCTTTTACTAGAGGAGGACTTTGATAACTAGGGAAGGTAGAGTTTGTAAATGTTAGGTGAGCAGATTGCAGGAAGTGAGCTTCATTTCCACAGGAGTCTCTTTTTATCTTTCTTTAGAATCGGTCAAGGCTATGTTTAAATTAATATGCCAGTTCTGATGCAGCTACTGTTCAGAAAGTGGGACAAGTAAAATGAAAACTGTTGCTCTTTTCAGCACAAATCACAAGTAATAAAGCAGCATTGCTGAAACCCTTGCTAGAAGGCAATTTTAATACAATCTAGTCTTCTTTGGTAGGACATGAAGGGTTTACAGAGCTTTCAGAGGCATACATAGAGTCTACCCAGACTTAAGATTAAGTGCTTGTATGCTACATCCAGCATTTAAATTTAGAAGTGAGGCCACAGTAAGTAACAAATTTGATTACTCTCAAGCAAGTCTCCTGGCTAAGGTAGAGTCGTGCAAAAATTGTGCCATGCATTACAAAATAGAATCTGGGTTAGGGAGTGCTCAAGGCTGTGTCCATTATTAACAAATTTAGCAAATTAACATTATTAGTGAATTTATGCAGAATCTATTCAGGTAACCAGTGCACAAATCCAGTGACTACTGGATAGTATTACCTTTTTATTGTAACAGAAAAACTGCTGTCAAACAAAATAGAAATACTGAGGCAGAGAGACTGGAAATGTGAAATATCAGTATTAATTAACACCTGAACTTAGTTGTTAATGATGTTGTTCCACAAAAAAATAAAAGTGCAATTATAAAGCCAGTAGTTTACTTTCAGGAAAACTTTCACAAACTGCATGTAATGCCTGTGTATTTTGAAATTGCAGTGCCCCTCCTTTTTATCCCAGTTCTGTAGCCTTTGGCACTATGTTAAACCAATTTCCACACTGACATCTGGTGGTAGTTCTGAAATGCTATGTTGCTTGAAATGCTGTTTGTAGGACTTTGCAGGTCTAAACATAAGTTTCAAACCCCTCCAGCCCTTCTGAAGTGATCTTATTGACATCTTAAAATTTTAACCTGTCATGGTCAGACCAGCTTCTTACAAGGCAAAGAAAGTAATAAATAAGTAATTCCTTAACATTTTGCTCAGTTAATATAATGTATTAAAAAAAAGTGTCTGTAGTGTGTGAAGGACATAATACTTGGAGTTAATTCCTTTCCCAAAGAACTCCTGTGAAAACAGTGACATAGTTTGAGATCCAGTTCAACTGATGGTGTGTATGTAAGTATAGAGATATATGTATCTGTGTGAAGTAAATGAGCTCAGCAGAAGTGCTAAATCATGCATACTCACATTGTGTCTTTATCCAGAGTCCAAAACTGGCTGTCATGGTGATAATTTGACTCATCTTGGCTCCAGTCCTGATTAGTCCTGGTGTGTGAGTGTATAACAAATAGTAAGAGCCATGACAAAGCCCTTCAAAATTTCCACTGAAATGGTTGCAAGGGCTTACTCTGTTCCTCATCTCGACATATATCAGATTGATTTAAAGTTCTATTAAGAAAATGTCTCAAATCAGATACCCTGTAGGAGTGATTGGATCACGAAAAGGAAAGTATGAAGTTTTATTCTGCCATGGCTCCATTGCTCTATTTAATATTCATCCCCCATCTTATGGGTTACACCATAGCACATAGCTTTTTGACACATGCATAATATGGCTGTACCTGTCGAGTAAACTGCTTGTAAAAATGGCTGTATTTCTTCATGCTGTGTAAATTCTTTAGTCAGTTCTGGCTTAGACAATCTCCTGTAGGCTCAGCAGACAGCTTTTTATTAAGTTTGTAAATTGCATAGTAGTTCCTAATTTGGTAAAGCATTTTATCTTTGTAAGATTGAGCAAATTTTTGCCCCTATTTTTGGTGCCTTCCATTTCCACAGTAGCGGCAACCATTGGTTAGTCCTAATGTGGCAAAGGTTAGCTTTGGTATAACTTTTTTTTTTCCTTTTCTGTGACATGTCTGTGTGAACATAAATCAGCACATAAAGAAAGTTCAGTCAAATAATTCATGTGGGCAAAGAGATAAAAATGTTTCACATTTAAGTAGTTGATGATTACTCAGTATGATTAATAGTGAAGAGGTCAAGAGTTTGGCATCTAAACCAGATAGCTTAATATGGTATAAAATTTACTGTAATGAGTAAAGAGGGTCATTCAAGTCCCAAAAGATTGTGAATTACATATTTTATTTAATATTTTAGGCAAAACCGATTTTATGACTAGTGTTAACTGGTCTGATGTATTTCAAAATATGTTGGAAAGGAAATCAAGTAATATATTGCCTTAATATGTGATGCATAATTGCTGAAAACTTACAGGAATTTGATTTTTTGTGGCTTCAGATTAGCCTTAATATGTGTGTGTGTGTTTATTAACACATGCTGTAGAATCAATGTTGGTTACTTTGAACTTGTATTCATTTTGATTTATTAATTTACTTAAACTTGTTGCTTACGGTATTTTTTCACATTTCTGCATACTTACCGAGCATTTCTTCCTATTAAACAGGAATTATTGAGACTGCAGATCACCTGGATCGTGAGACTACTTCACATTACTGGCTTACTGTTTATGCAACAGACCAAGGCGTTGTGCCTTTATCATCATTCATTGAAATCTACATAGAAGTTGGGGATGTTAATGATAATGCTCCTCAGACCACAGAGCCAGTTTATTACCCAGAAGTCATGGAAAACTCACCTAAAGATGTATCTGTCATTCAGATTGAGGCATTTGATCCAGATTCAAGCTCAAGCGAAAAACTAAGCTACAAGATTACAAGTGGAAATCCACAGGGATTCTTCTCAATAAACCCCAAAACTGGTAAGTAAAATATGTTTTATTTTATTTATTAATAAATTAATGTGTTTGCATAATTGCATAAAATAGGTGAAATCAAAATCTTTGGTTTAACATTGAAAACATGCTTTCACAATAGCTGGTGTTAAGCTGGTGTCTTGGGCTGTGTCAATATTAGTAAGTTATACAAACATGTAGAAAAGGATATGAGAGTGGAGCACTTGGTTCCAAAGTATTGACATCCACATCAGGTGTGTTTTGTGAAGGCTTATTTCTGAGTAATTCCACTCTAGACTGGTCAATGTGCATTTTTATAGTACAGTAAGTATACAATAAAAACCCATATTTTAGTTTAGTTTCATCCAAATTGTTTTTAGTTGTCTTCATAGTTTTTTTTGTCAGGCCTCTTTTAAAATTCTTTTTTGGTGGAGGAGGAGGGTGTTGTGTTAGTCTAAGCAACATAAGCCATTGACTACCTGCAGACTCACTTGTCCCCCAGTCAAAAGATTCTTTCTAAATAACTATTGCTGCTGCTAGAAATACATAATCTGGAGGATTATTTTCAGGTGGGGTTTTTATGCAATGAAAATAAAGAGTCCGAGTTCACTGGTTATTTGGAAAGCTTCAGAAAAAAACACTGAGTTTTAACAGGGGACTACAAACTCAAGAACCAGGTAACCTTTTAGTAAGTGAATTGCAGGTACTGAAATGTGTTCTCCCCTTTCACCTCCCTGTATCATCAGGTGGCATTTTTCAAACTGTGTTTTGAAAAAAGACACCACTGCACCTGCTTGCCAAAGTTTTGGCGTAAAGAAATACCTTTATTCCTATTTATTGGGTAGAATTAGGACACTGGGGGGTTGTGACTTGTCTTTGGACGGAGTTTGCAGTTTTCTGTGTTAGTAGCTTACTGAGATCTCCTGTATGTTAGAAAGGACCTTGAGAGAGAGAGCTCTAGATGGTGAAGTGATTAAGAGCACTTAATAGAAAAGGAATAAAGATTTTCTGTCAAGAGAGCTTACCTGCTTTTATTGTAGCATGCATACACTAGAAGCAAGCAGTGCAATCCACAGTCCTTCTCAGTTTGGTGTTAAAGAATTAAAAGCAAAAGGGCAGCTGGAAATAATATTGTAAGCATTATATTTCAGAACACAAGCACTGGGAATAAAAATCTCCCTCTGATTTACATTCAGCAGAAAAAAATTATTTTTTTCCCCTCAATATAATTAAAGGCCCAGGCTTAGGTATTTCACCTATCATGTGCCATTCATACCACCCTTCACTGGTGTCTATTATTGTTAAAATTGTATGCTAGATAGACATGCTTCTAGACAGACGTCTTAAACATAGTGAAAGGGAAAAGGTGAGCAGAGGAGAGAAGGGAAACTTGTTTCTAGAGTGCACTCAGATAATTCAATGGCTGTTAAAAAGCTAACTCATATATATTGTCTTCCCATTTCATGTGCTCCAATGGGCCATACTGCCTGTCCTGTACATGACCAGTTTGAAACTGTTAGTCTGCAGTGGGCACTGACATAGTGGTTGAGTTTTCAACAGAGGTTATCTGGTTCATAAGTTCTCAAGTCTCTCTTCTATCTATTAGATATTGAATATATTTACTCCGAATAGATCTTGTTTGGTGTGAAAGTGTTTTCAATAGAATTGACATGTTAAGAAGTTGGAAGAACACTTTAAAAGACACTGGTTATTGTTCTAGTTATAACACAGTGCATTTTATCTTCCCCAATCAGTTAAAAGAGGACCAATCAGTTAAAAGAGGGCTCAGCTGAAGAGTACATTTGATTAGAATTGGAGAGATCAAGTCTTGTCTTGTTAGCTTATGTGTGTATATTATCCTTGTTGTACCATGTGAAGTTATCATACTGTAAGTTATTTGTCCAAGGAAGAGAAACCTTCCCCAGGGGGCCAAGTTTCCCTTCCAGCCACAGGGGAGATAGGGCTGGAAAATTAATCAAGTCTTTTTAACTGTATCCTGTTGTAACACTGAAAATGACAGTATGAGTTAAATATGTGCATCCCCAAAGATGAGCTGAGGACTGTAATGGCATTCAGTTCAAGTCAACTAAAAGCTAGTTTTAGGATTCTTAAAATATATGGTGAGTGTTAAAAATATGGCTCAGGTGGTAATGTGTTATTATCTCTTCTCCTGGTCAAGGATCCATTGTTTCCTTTCTCTTTATAAAATTTAACGTTATGGTATTGTGGTCCACGGCTGGAATACCACACATAGTAGTAATACAGATTATAAATAGAAACAACCTACAGGTAACATGTATCAAGTGAGACACTTCAGTCTGTTCTCCTGATGTAGCTAATGCATTTCTAGAAGTTTGTGGATTCCAGACTAAGATGTCTGTGTCTTAATGCAATAATTCTGAATTTTTAGAAACTCGCTGACATGGATCTGTGTAGGATGTAGTTCATCTTTCACAAAAAGAAGAGATTTCTTTTAATGACAAGAGCTATTTACTGACTGAGCTGTTTCTAAGAAATGCTTTAGTAGTATCTGCATACTTCTTACTGTAATCTAAGTACCCCTCTCTAAGTTAGTCTTTACTGACACTTTGAAATGTATTTTATATTTAAAATAATTATAAAATCACTTAAGGAAACACTGCTAAGTTTTTCTTTACATGCTATTTCACTTTTTGGAACAGGATATATGACAAAGTACCCCACAGGATATTTTGTAATCTTTTCACATATACCTGGTCTTTCATGAAAGCAAATGAAATAACATTTTATTTATCTTTGGAGTTTCCATGCAATGAAAAGAAAGTGCTGTACATGTGAGCTGTCCAGGTAGAATAATTATCATAATATTACTTGCCGGAAAGAATTAGAACAAAGATTTAATTCCACAACTTTCATGCTCAATCTGAACACAACTGTTGGCAAACATGGAAATTATGATAACTACTTTATATCTACTTAACTTCTTGCAACATAGCTTGTAATTAAATACAGAAGGTGGAAGAGTTGCAACTCATGTTAATACGTTTAGGTAGAAAGAGTAAAGTTGCACGATTTGGTGGCTGTTCTGAACACATCCTGGGACTCTGTGGTTAATCTCAGTACTTAACACTAGAGCTACTGCACTGAGGCTTAGAAAAGATTTGCACATTTACCAACACTCGTGTACAGCAAAGGACTATATAGCAGTAAACAAGTTCTGAGATTTGTGCCTTAGAGCTTAAAATACACGTACAATGCTTTTATAAGCACATGTAATACATATGGTGTGTATAATAGTGCCTTAGTACTATTTCTGTTTCTTGCAGGTGTGGTTTATTTGCTTGTGAGCTATTTGGGTACTTGTAGAACTGAAAAGTTTCATGGATCACAGACGTAAACTCCATGTCTGTGTTTCAAAATACAATTGATTATTTTAATGCTTGGAATAAACTACTCAGTGTTTCTATTTTATATGAACACAGTCCTATTTAGTAGAAAAACTTATATTTTTCTTCATCTTTGTGCTTTTCATATTAAAATATCATAATTAGCTTTTTTGCTTTTGAGAAGTGTTGGAAGGATGACACTTGATAGCAGGATTGCTTTCTTAGAGAAAGTAGAACAGATAATTAGTATGGCATCTACAGGTAGTAGCTGATGATACCATTGTATATAAGTGTACATTTATGAGTTAATGAATTACGATTTTATAATTTCTAATCTATTTGGATTTAGAAACCAATCTGTTAGTGCCTCTTCGAAAGAGTTATGTATTTATATTACTAAATTAAGATTTCAATTAAACCATGTAATTCCTTTCTGTCTGAGGAGGGTAGGACATGCATCAAATATGTGTTTTTTGTTGCACCCAATAAGAATTGTAAGGGTGGTTTGCAAACAAGGTCCCCAGTTTAAAATGTGTGCTGACAGTTTCCCAGAATGACATTGTCAGCCAAATTCTTTTCCTATCATTGTTTCTAATTTTTTTTTTCTTCTAGCTTTACTTTTTAAATTGTGGGATGGCAAACATCATGTGAAATTAGAAGAAAGGTATTAACATCTTTAAATGACTAACAGTAACTCCTAAATTGCTGTAGAACTGGAAACACTAGACTGAATTCTCTCTAAACAAAAAATGCTCACTGAATTCCCTGAACTCTGTATCAGTTTTCATATGCATGAAATTATTTTGTTATGCCATGTTTTTTAAATATGGCTGCAACAGTGTTACAGGCTCTATATGATGAGTATCTCAAAGATTGCTGAGTTAAAGTGCCTGAAAGAAGGTTATACTGCTTTATAAGTGCAGCATGCACACTAGAATGGCAAATTCTGCATTTGCATAGAGAAAGGAGTACCAGCTCTCTTTAGTATTATTGAGCAAGAAAATTGAATCCTAACCAGGTATCCCTATAGGGCCCTTACAATCTTTTTATATTACTTTGCACATATATTTAGGCTAAAAATAATTTCTGATCTTTTGCCCAATTGTTATGGTTCTTTCCACTTCCCCAGGACTTCTCTTACATTTGTTGTGCCAACCAGATTTGGCTTGGGGAGGGAATTGGGTCTGGGTAGCAAAAACCACTTTTGGTGGTGCCTTACCTCAGAAATTTAAAGCAATAATAGTAAATGAGGAAGAGAAATTAGGAAGAGAGGTACTGAATATTGTGCCAAATAGCAATTTTGATTCAGATCAGCAGAAATGCTGATCACAAAAGCATAGCCTTCTATGCTTTTAAGGAAACTTTGTATGAAAGTGAAGCATACTCCTGAAAACTAGACTTGGGTTCACAACCTGGACATAAGAATACCAAAATAAATCTTGAGTTGTTAATTTTCCCATACTTAGGTTTTGCAGTTGTAATATAGAAATACTTGTGTGACCTAATTACTTGGGAGTGTTGTAAAGCTATATTAATTTATGTATGAAGCGGTTTGGTATTATTATGTGAATATTATAGACATACCTTTAAAGAAATTAGTAATCCTATGGTGTATGAGATAGTCTATTTAGATAAGGATATTAGTTGGGGAATGCAGCAGAA